TTGGACCGTAAGCCAGCAAGGAGACCAAAGCTTATCTCCCTGGCAGGAGCGCTGCTTCTGCTCCTTTTACTTCACCTTGCCTTCTCCTTTTACTTGACCCCCAATGCTTGGTTGGTCAGCCAATGATGGGTAAGATTCCCCAAGGGGGGAACAACCTAAGGCAGGCATGATCACGTGGGAGGTCCCCAAGAAAGGACTTTGGGGGCTACAGTAAAAGGGGGTGATGGACCCTTGTCCCTTGGCTTTGACATAGCTTCAGTCCTCATTGCCTGTAAGAAAATCTCCTTATCTCTTGGTTGCCTTAGTTCCCTTGCTCCACCTAAGCCTGAAACAATGACAGGGTGGTGCAGCTCTGTGCTGAAAAGGGCGGGTTCTCCAGGTGATCAGGCCTAAGAAAGAATATGTAAAATCCTGTGAAACCTGCTTTGTTTAGAATGCTCTTAGATGAATGATGAGGGTCCAGGGAAGAAGTAAGTTTGTTCCTTAAAGTTTTTTACAGCTCTTTGACCCTGACTCAAAATAGGCCCTCAGACTTCCTTGTTACCTATTGTTTGATACTTACTTCCTAGCAATGAGTAATGAGCTTTACCTGAATTTTTATGCAAATGAAACCAATAAAAAGCCTCTCTGGCAGGGGAATGGCACGCTCTCCCCACCACAGACAGTGGCCATTCCGTTCCTACTTCCCCACAGGACTTGGTTGTCTCTGTGTGTTTTTCTCGAGTATTGACGAGCCATCCACAGCGTTCCGTGGTCACTGCTGGTGGGTGATCGCATCATCTATCAGCTTCTTCAAGCTACTTGACCTCCACATCATGTTGCCCTCTCCATCTTCAAACTGGCAACTTCCCCTTGAGTCCTCCTTGTGCTTTGAATCTATCTTCTCCTTCTGAGCTAGCTCTCCTTCCTCTAGCTACAGAAAGTTCTCTGGGATACATGTTTCTATTGTCTGCTACAGTTGGTCCAAGTAGGCATTAGTGCCAGAAATAAATGGTGAAAGAATAACTCAGAAACATTTAGTTACATACTATTTAGTATTTTCCAGGTGAATAATTTAGACATGTAAAGGAGTAAGTGGAGAGATTGAGTCAGGGACAAAGGCAAAACAAGAATACAAGTATATTGCTGTATCAGTGGTCCCCAGGGAACCAATGGACCTCCCAGTATTCATGCCCTGGTATTGAATCTGGGCTTGGCCATGTGACTTGCTTTGGTCAAGGGGACATTAATTAGCAAGTATGGTGAGAACAGAGGCTTGATAAGCATTTGCACCTTGTCTTCTTAGAAGAAAGTCTAACCATCCTAAGACAACCATTCTGTGAGGACGTCAAAGCCAGCTATAGCAAGGCCGAATGGAGAAGCAATAAGGTGTCATACATGCACAATGAAGCTGCTTGGATCTTTCAGACCAGGTATCAGCCACCAGCTAAATGCAGTGGAGTGCTGTTTGGAACAGAAGAACACCCAGCCAAGGCCTTAGATAGCCTAACAAATCACTGTTGATTTAAGCGACATTCTAAAGACTTCATTTTAATGAAGTTGTTGATTTTAATGCAGCAGTAAGTGAAACACAGGATTTATAAGAGAAAGGGAAGAATACTGCATTCTGGAAATAGTAAATGTTGTTTGTATATTTTTGTGGTAAACTGATTAGTTGGCACTGAGCAACTCCAGGAATGCTGAAAATCAAAAACAAAAACAAAAACTTGTTTTTGTTGTTTACTAATTCTCAAGAAAACCTTGGGGGATATACTTATGGAGTGTACTTGAATAATGTTTGCAAGTGTCCTTTTGATTATCATCTTTGACCTTGTAAGTTGGGTCTGTACAGTTTCCCTTATTAAATTTTAAAGAAGAAAACCCAGGGATTGTAAAAGACAATCTTAAGGGGACTGAGAGGATCTTAAGTCCTCCCCCAACAACATATTTCCCTTATTTAAAAACAGCAGTCTGTCCAGCCCTTTAGTCAGGAGTGCCGTAAATATGGAACACCCTAAGCAGGCTCAGTTCCTTTGAAGACAATCCTAGAGCCTGAGTTCCATTCATGACCCTGCACTGAGAAGCAGGTGTGAAGGGGCCCAAGGATCCTGGACGAGTGAGCTGCACCGTGGGGCCAAGTTGTCTATGAAGATTGGATCTCCCTGAATGGTGGGAGTAGGAGGATGATAAAGACAAAGGAGAAATTAGCTGGTGACAGAGAATACAGACAGAAACAGAAGAAAATGAAATTAAGAGTTGAAATACTCACAGGCTCACCAAAGTGAAACAGAATTAAACTTTATTTATTTGGAAGACAGGGTGAATCCATCACTGGTTACTGGAGTTCTGAGGCAGCACTTTCTCCTCAATAAGGTGGGCTGTGTTTGGCAGGGACTGTGATGGTTTGGAATCTGGACAGATGAGCAAAGTTAGAGTTTTCTAAGGCTGTGACACCTCTCATGTCAACCCAGAACTCACCTTGGTGTCCTCTTCAGCCCTCTGTCCCCCACCATCCCTATCCACCTGGCATATCCCACATTTTTGTCTACTTCTTACCTGCCTGGCTGCCTAGCTGGGCCTCAGGCCGGTCTCCCCAGAGCACATGTCCAGGATCATTGAGGAACCGCTGGCTGCGCTGGCATGTTAGGCAGGTCTGTACTGTCCAGCGCTGTCCCCTGCAGCCTGGAATAAAAGTGGGAACATGGAACAGAGTACCTTCGTTTCGGAGAAGTAAAAGTGTCCTCCACTCAGTTCTGTCTCCACTGTTTTCTAGTAGGAATTCCACCTCTCACCTACTTTGAATGCAAATTTGATAGTGTGAGATCCCTGCATAAACTATCAATTTCTTGGTACTCTTTTAAGATGAAGTCCAAACTCCTTTACAAGATTCTACAAGACCTGCCATTTCCTTTTCCAGCCTCGTGTCGTGTGCACTTCACACTCCAGCCTCTTAAACTCTCATTTTCTTCACAGCAGCACAACCTCTCATCTCAAGGTCAACACACAAGGCTAGAATTTCCATCTGCTACCATCTCTTCTTCTTATGAATCTCACCACCACTGGCATAAGTAACAGCATTTTACTCCCCAAATTAAAGCATTTTCTACACTATTTTGTTGCTATCTTAGCCTGTCCCATCACACTACATCTTCAATGAGAATAATGAATCAATTACAATGCTTGGCACATCTTAGAAAAAAAATATTTGTTGCATGAATGGCAATGAATCGTCCTCCACGATGCCAAATAACATCTGTTCTTACACACTGGCGAGGTTGCCTCATCTGGCAACATCTTTCCTGTCCTGGTGGAGTTAATTCCAGTGGGACGAAGTCGACTCTTGCTCCTGCGAATCCCCCAGCAAACATCCATCCAAAGCACGGACGGGTCACCTGCCCTTCAGCGCTCCCTACGGATCCCACCCCATATGCGCACTCACGTCTCTGGCGCTGTGTGCAGGTCAGGCCGGGGAGGAGGAGGGAAAAACAGCCTCGACAGACTGTCCTCTTCACCGAGGGGTCCCTGCGGGAGGAGGGGAAGGTGGTCTGCACACCCGCTCTTGCATTCTCTCCCCCCACCACCCCGGCCTGCAGGCCGCTGTGCTCCGTGCCTCTCACCGCCGCAAGACGAGCCGCCTGGCGATGGTCCTCTCCGTGTGGCAATAGAACCTCGCCAGCGCCTGGTTCTCGGGGTCCTGCGACAGGACGCAGTGGGCAGCCTAGGGGAGGGGCGGTCACTCAGCAGCTGGCGGTACGAGGGCCCTCCCTGAGCACCCCTTTTGCAGACTCACCTGGTACAGGAAGCTGAGCCTCTGGAAAGCCTCACGGTCCTTCACTGGCCCCGCCATTCAGGCAACACGAGGGCACCAGGTCGAAGGCCTGCAGGCCCCACCCCTCAGACAGACACGCACCAGCAACAGCGCAAAGCCTCCTGGGCAGCGGAGCTCCCAAGCGCTGGGCGCTCGGCTGTGGTCCTTACTCTGGCGCCACCTTGCGGCCTCATAGATCCATCTGTTTGAATTGCATTCTAAGCCAGGGTCCGTGCATGAGTTCTAGCTCCCTTCTAGTCTCATTCAAGCCCATATGAGTTATATTAGGTAGACTGGAGCCCATGATCACTTATACTAGGTAAAGACTAGAGAGGCTAGTAGAACAGGAGAGGATCTCAAACTGCTATACATCTTCAGGACAGAAGACAGGTCCTTTGGCAGCTAGGGTGGGGAGATGGTTCTGTGCAATTTATACCCAGACAGACCTTCTGCCCTACTCTCTGCAGCCAAAGGTGGATATCTGGAAGATCTACAGGTAGAAGGAACAGCAGTTACACATTTAAAAAAAATCACTGGTGTCAGTGGGAGTGAAATTCGAAAGGATCATGAGGGTGGTGGAGTGAAGGAAGAGGGCTCCAGGCCCTCAGGGAACACAGCTCGTTTCCACTTAACCAGACAAACACATTTCCTGTTATGCAGTGCTAAACACACAGCAGGTGATCCTCACTAACTCCTAGTCATAGGTATGGGACACAGAAACCTGACAACAGTATCTCCTGCCCCTGAAACTACACCCCACCCCCAACACAGACAGACATGGATCACAATCCCTCCCTCTGACCTTTCTGTGTCCCATTTGTTCTTTTTGGCATCCTGTTTGCCTCTGCTTCATAGTTAAGGGCCACCAATTCCTGAGATCAGAGTAGAGGGATGTGAGCTGGAGGAGTAGAACATGAATGAACCCTGAGATGGGAAGAGGGTAGCTTACATCAGGGGAGGGTGAGGTCTTTCTCCCCTCTCAAACCCCATCAGGCTGGGTAGGGGACCAGGACTCCGGCTCAGAAGTGGCTGAAACCTTTTCAGGGATGAGTTTCACAAGTATCCCCAGAATCAAAGGAAAGAAGTATGCTTAAAATGTAGGTGGACCACAGACCTTGAACAACACTAAGGGTAAGCCCAGGAACATGCATTTTTAACAGCGAGTCTTATACATCAAGAGAAACAGTTGTCAAATTACCACACAACACAGAGATCACTTCAGTGGATCCTTTGTTCCATATTGTTTTACCAACCAAAGCATCTTGCCACAAAGAACCACAGTCAAGGCACAAAGGTAAGAGGAGAGTCTGAACAGAGTCCTGTTGAGGTGGTAGGAGGAACTGAAATGTCCTCACTAAGCTGCAGTTTCTTATCCCAACCTTCTGTGAACCCCATTACTGAAGCAGCAGATAGTCCAAGTCATTTTAGTTTGGTTTGGCATGTATTACTTTACCTTTTTTGACAACATATGTACCCTACAGATTGTTTATTTTGGCCTAACATTAAATGATTTACATTCTCTGATAGAGGAAATGGCAAATGGTGAAGGATGGCAGCAAACAAGCAAAAGACTGGCTCCTGTGAACACTAGTTCCAGGCCAGATGCACACAGGCACAAGGAAGTCGCCCATCTTGCCTTTCCCTATACACGCCACCCTCTTCTGCCCCATCCTCAGCGTGAGGAAGACTCCATTTCCGTTCTCAGTTTCTGGCTTGGACACCTTAACCAGGTAATAAGGCTAACAACTTGGGAGTAACTATTTAGCAACATTCTTTTAAGGCCAGAGCTTTGGATAGAAATGTTTCTCTTTCTCTAATACCTGACTCTCTCCTTCCCAAGTTCCCCTGGGAAAGCAGTTAAAGGGTAGACTGTCTTGCAGGATCTCTGGTACCTCACCCCTGAAGAGGAAGGTGACTGACTTCTTGGAGACAATCAACTGTAAGGAGGCAGGCAATAAGCCACCTCTGCTGAAGGCTGAGATAGGGACCTGGGTCCTCCTCCTCATCATTCTCACCCTCTCCTCTGGCCAATCTACTGACAATGGCAACCTCACTCTGGGGATAGAAGACCAAAGAAATCCTCTCCACTTCATTAGTCTCTAGGGATTTGCTCCTTTAGCCGCCTTCCCTGACCTTCTTTCTAAACTTTTGATGCCCAATCTCTGTTCTTGGAAAAACTCAACTTCTAGACCCGTGAAAGCAACTGTCATTCATTTTCATTTCAATCTAGAGGTATACACACCCCTGTGCTCTTCCTCAAGAAACACAACTATTCTGGGAAACATATTCTATGTTTCCTCCTCTGGTTTGAGCATGTCAGACTCTCCCAGAGATTTTTTGTTTCTGGAAAAGCCTCTCCTTCCTTCCTAACCTGTCCTGTGTAATAGAAAACCCGATGAACCTCAGGGGAGATAATCCCCTGTGAACTAGCTCCTCACTCAGTTAGGGAGGAGACATAGCTGTGCTCTCATCCTAGACCAGTCCTACCTACTCCTCCACATACGCCATTCTAGAAACCAAGGTGTTTCTCCCAGATGTTTCAGGACTGGAACTAGGCAAACACGAAGACATTCCAGCAGGTCACAGGAAGGAAGGCCCATTGCTCTTGGTCCTGCCTCATTCCAGTTATTCCCATGTCCCTACCTGTCACTCCCAGTCTGTTGGCGGCCTGATGGTAAGTGGTGCAGCATTCTTCCTTCCAGCCCGGATGCCCGGGTAGAAGAGGGGCCACAGTTTCTCAGTAAAAGTATCAGTGAAGGTGTAGATATGAGAGCGGTCTGTGACATTGTAAAAAGACAGTGTGCCGGCCTCATAGTCTAGGAATATGCCCACCCGCTTGGGTTTCACCTTGATGTGCAAAGGAGTAAAAGGCGTGGTGGTGGCTGCATATTTGTCCCCATTCCACAGTCGCACCCTCCAGTAGCCAGTCTCAGGTAGTGGGGTCAGCTCGCCCTTTCGGCTCACAGAATCCCGGCACACACCCACTGCCCAGTGGGTCTTGTCTCCCACCTCTACTTCCCAGTAGTGTCGACCTGAGGTGAAACCCTCAGTAGCCAGGACGCAAGGATAGAAGGTGAAACGCCGTGGTGTGTCAGGTAGATCCCGGAGTCTTGTCTCCACAAACTTGACGCTCTTACGATCTTCCGACAGAACTAGGTTAGGATGAGCAGTCTCAGGGTCCAGGGTCACATCCGCTGGCGGGAGAAGCCAGAGTGGGGAGCTAGATGAGGATGGGAATAGCTCAACACCCCTGCCTCACTCCTCCAGCCTGCCTTACAGAGCCTGCTCCTTTAGGGGGCCCCAGGATGCAGTGGTTTGGTTAACTTTCTGAATCCATGGTATCACTTAAGGGAACGGAGGAAACACTGGCTTCACTTTTCACCCCAGCCCTAAAATAAGCAAATAATGTGCTCTTGATTTTGCAAGGGTTAGTGGTTTAGGCTCCTTATGCCTGGTCTCCCCTCCATGGTCCCTGACATCATCATCTCACTGCAGAGAAGTACCAGGCACAGAACAAGGGCAAGAATGGAAAACGTATGTTGAGGATATAGAGAAGACACCATCAGGGTATAGGGATAGTCCTGGTTTATGACTACTTTCTGTGAATAAATTATTAATGACATTCTCTTTCACTTTCAAGAGTGAACAAGTTTTAGGCGAATTATTTAACTTTTCTCAGTCCCTATTAAGAAAGTGTGGGCCTAAAAACAGAGGATACCTGAGCCTTTTCAGTTGGAGTTCTGTGACTCTGAGTGATCTAAAGCCAGGTAAAAGGGTGGGTGTGGGTATGGGCATGGGAAACAACAGATAGGATAACTGAAGCCCATATGAGGTAGGACCTAAACACTTTCTTCTCTCTGCCAATTTCCTCTGTTCCTTTCTTTTGGGAACAACTCACCAATTAGCTGTTTAAGGATTTTCCTTAGGGCAAAGTACTGTCGGGGGAAATTGCTGAAGTTCTTTTCAAGTTGTATGGATACTGAAGTCACCTCCATGGTCTTCACCTTTTCACATCTAGGAGGGACAGGGAGATAGGGGAAGAAAGGGCAGGGTCAGGGGAAGCTCCATCCTCCCACTTTCTCCCTCCTACCTGAGGACAAACACTTGCGTATTGCTTTCTTTGGCCAATCTATGGAGAGTCATATGGTCCCTTGGACAAAACCTTATCTTAAGAACGAGTCTCAGAACTTTCTGGGGATATTGTTATAGTTCATGCAAATGGGTAATTACCCTCCCTTCTCCCAACCCCTTCCTCCTTCCATCTAGTATGGACACAATTCCACATACAGGCACAGGGAGAATCTGGTTCCACGTTACCTTGATATCTTCCTTAACAAGAAAGTCCTGATGCTCAACGGGAAAAAGGTAAGGGGCTATTATTCCCTATGATCACTCTCTAACTGGTTTCATTGATGTAATAAACCTTTCCCATATCCTACCCAGAAGCTGTGTGGCTTTTCCATCCTTATTCCCCCAACTCCTCACTGTACTCTAAGTCTCTAAGTCAAGACCTAACTCACTCAAAGAGATGCAGGAATCACTTACTTTTCCAGGGTACTTTTGACATCCTAGAGGGAAGGAGAAAAGAAAGCAATATTGGTGCTGGTAGTCAAGGAGGGGGATCCTTTTGCCTGTGTAGGAACAGGCAAAAGGATCCCTCTCCTCCCAAAAGTTCTAGATCTCTAAAATAGGAATAGGGTAACTGAGGGTCACAGTGAAAGGAGAAGAGTTCCAGAGGGATCTGAATAGTACTTCTCTCCCAACCTCATTCCCACTTACAACTTCTGGTCATCATGAAGCTTGGAAATTTACATCACTTCCAAATGGTTTCTTGTGTTTGTCTTTGTTCCTCAAGGACCCTGGGAGCTCAATGCAAGTGCAGGGATTGTGTCTGCTCTTCCCTCTGTCCCCCAAGTACCAACCACACACCTGTCTCCTTGAGGATCATTACAGATAGTTCCAGACTAGTGGTATAGGAATGGATCATACTTCCCACTATCGTTTGGTATCCCCTGTCTGGTACTGGTTAATAAACATTAAGAACTATGTGCCAATCCTGATTTGCAAATACTTGGGGTCCAGAAGACAAAGAAGACAAATCTCTGCCCCCCAGGATTTCCCAGTTTAATGTGGAAGGCAGAACACACATACATGAAAGGACATAAGAATAAACACCAAGGAGTACATTAGCATGCAGATCAATATACAACGGCACCTCACTGATTCAAATGCTGGTAGTCTGATCTCTAAGGTAAGAAACATATTTCCTATAGCCTTGCTAACACCATGCATCTGCTTAAGAGAACAAATAATTTCAAACATTTTAGAGGCATTTACATATCAAAAACAATATACTTTTTATACATAATTTCAAGTGTCTTTCAAACTAGTTTCTATTCTTTTTTAGCAGTAGGTAAATCAAGTTCCAGGACTTAAAAGTAATGGTAACTGCATTTACACAATTTTTAATGCATAGCCTTTTTCATGAATTCAGACTAGACTTCCCTTTCAAGAGTGGATTTTTTCCTTTGGCATAAGCACATAATTGTTGACAAGACATAAGAACACAGAAATGATTAGAAGGGGTTGGGAGATATCAGAGAAGCCTTTCTGTAGAAATAGATGCTTTGAGTATGTCTAGAAGAAAGAACTGGGTTTAAAGAAGCAAAGCAGAGAAGTGAGCATCCCGGGCTGACAGAACAGCCTGTGCAAAGCTATACTGTGCTCGACCTGAGGGACTACGCAGGGGCAAAGGTCGAACCTTAAGCATCTCGAAGCCTGACTGTAAGCACTTGCCCTCCACCTCAGCAGCCAAGTGGGCCAGGTCCCGGCGTTTCTCTCCAAGGTGAGCAGCATTTTCTCTGAGGCGCTGTAGAATGTCCTGTTCTTCCTCCTCTAGTCGTGAAAGCAACACCTGTTGCTCTTCATCCAGCCGCCTATGAAGCTCTTCAAATTCCTTTAAGATCTGCTGTCGGCGACTCTCCACCAGTCTCTGAGAAAAGAGGGAGGGTGCTATGTTTAGTAGAGCCAGTGGGGGACAGGCTCCCTTTCCCCACCTGCCATGTGTATGAATTAACATAGATTCCAGTGTCATTAAAAACAGTTTAACAGACATAAGAACTCAATAATATGACAAACCATTTCATAAAGTTCTAGCCATTATAATTTCTTAAGAAAAAGAAAGTGAAAATACCAGAAAGTGATGAGGTAAGACTGTCATCATTTGTATGTTGAAAATACCACATATAACCAACTGCAAAAATATTAGAATCAGTAAGATTTTAGTAGTGAACTGTTATAGGGGACTGTTCTACGTGGCATGGGGAATGTAGCTCAGCCTGATTCAGAAAACTGACTGGAAGCAAGGTCAGCACACAGGACCCACACCCACGGACAGGTTCTCTTGTGGGGTATCAGCCTGCATTGTACCTAGACTGCTTTGAGTCTTGCTTTTGCTACAACTCCCTCACCCTGAATTGAGGCACAAATGTTTACTGCATATCTTTGAAGTAACTTCCTAAAATCTATGCTAAACCTCCCAAGGATGGAGTGTAACCAGTTCAACCACTTTTCCCTTTGCATTTGCAAATATCCTTCTTTGATGTAATTAGCAACATCCTCTCCTTTGCTTTCTGTAAAAGGTAACCACTTAAACCAAACCTGTTCATAGTAAATGAGGACCATCCTCCATGTAATGTGCCCAGGAAAGCAATAAAAGCTTGTCCAGGCAGGGGTTGGGGCCCTCTCTCACTCAGAGTGGCCGTCCCTTTTTCTCCACAGGACTTTTGTAGTCTATGTGATTTTTTTCATCACATCCACAACACATGGGCTGGGTCTGCATCAGACTGTTACAAATATAAATGTAGATTTCAGGGCTGAACCTGTTAAATAGTTTCAAGTCACTTCAGAGAATTGACAGTTGCCATCCTAGGAATAGGTTCCAAAGTTTCTTTTTTTTCCCTCTCAATGTGTGGTTGCCTCTTGCGCTCCCCCTACTGGAGACCTGGTCTGCAACTCAGGTTTGTGCCCTGATTGGAAATTGAATCAGTGACCCTTTGGTTGGCAGGCCCATGCTCAGTCCACAAAGCCACACCAACCAGGGCCCAAAGTTTCTTAGTAAATGAGTTGCTTGAAATTTGAAACATGTTTTCTCTCAGCCAGAACATATACTTGAACCTCTACCATTCCTGAAATTTGATAATATAGGACTCAAACACCAGCCAGAACTATTTCTGAGGGTTATCAGCAAACATATCTTCCTTCTGTACTTCTACTGCAACAAGAAATGATCTCCCCAAAGGAAGATCCTCCAAGTGTGATATCACTAATGGGGAGGAATCAACCCAACAGGAGAGCAAAGTGAGAAGCAGACTAGGATTGTGGAAGGAGAAAGTGGACAGGCACTGAAAGGCAGGGCCAAGAGTGAATAAGGAGTGGCACCCCAAGGCCAGGATGGGTTGTATAAGCCTACTATTTCTGGATTTCAAGCCAGTTTCCAGGAGAGGCTGACTAGCTCTAGCTCCAGTGCTAGAGCAGCCACTGCTCCCATTTCACTCTTGCCCTCTCAGGCCCACATTCAAACCAAATACATTTCCACTACATTTACCCTTACATAAAGCACAGCAGCCTGTGTGTGTGTTTAGGGGTGATGAATGGGTGGAATTTAGGATTCATAAATGTGGTAAAAAGGAAGCAAAATGGCTCTCCCTCGTATAATTCTATAATTTCTTCTCTTTTTTCACTCTGTTGGTTCTTAAGGAGAGTATTTTACCTCCCTCTAGGTGTATTTTGGAAACAGGGTGGGGTGCATTTTTTTATTTGCCATGATTGTGGGCACTCCTGGAAAAAATGCTAGCTACTCCTTCAATATATGAGACAACCCTGCCTCACATATTGTTCAACCCTGATGAACTGTCCTGCACCATTTTCTAAAGCTCTGCTGCACATTCAAAAACACAGGCCTGAACTTCAGTGCCGTTTTATATATAAACACAGAGTATTTCTTATACACTTTTAACATACCTGAATTTTTCAGGAATGGCTGAATAAGGCCGTATTTTTTTTTAAAGCTTTACCATAAGTTATTTATCATTTAGAAAATTATGTTACCATGAGTTAAGATGCTTGTGGTATTTGAGTGAACATTACTTCACAATAACTTCAATCGGAATTTGTATTTGCTGCATTGTTGATGATGTCATGTGTAGGTGCAAGGACAAGACTCTACTGTAGTGTATTTCAGAGTAGTCATGTTCAAATATTACACAGCATATTTTGTTACAAATTACTTCTCTTTTCATTATATTACACTATATTTGGACATGAAAGTCTCTTTTTAAAATTATATAGATAGAATATTTTTATCTACATAAAAATAATTACAAATTATTTTTAAAAAGGGCATTGGGTCTGATTTTGGAGATGGAGATGAGTGAAAAAGAGGGAGAATTCAAATGGTCACAAAAGGAAGGTTGGTGGTAATTTATATTTTTAAAAACACCACATCTCTGTTTAAGTATTTAGAGGCTTTTAAATATTTTTATTCCCCTTTCTATCTCTTACCTTTAAGAAGGTGATGAACAGGAAGAAGAAAGTTAATGATTGGGAAGAAACTTTAATTTCATATTTTTAAATTTCTCGGGAGCCATCCAAAAGATCAAAGAACTTTTTTTTAAAGTTCACCTTTGTATCAAAATTAGTTGAATTAAAAAAAATTCAAATGTTTGCTTTGTTAAAATATATAAAGGACTAAGATAACAATACTTGCTTTCTGTTGAAATGTCGTTGGTAAAAAATCAGTATTTCTACTATTTTCAAATGTGTTTAATTTCTAGTGAGCCCGAAATCTCAACATCAAAAACCTGTATTTCTTTTGGAATCCTTTAATTAAGTCCAATTTCTATGTTGTCTTCTTATGAACTTGCAACTATGCTTTTTATGCTGTATTATTATTTATTTTGTCTACTTGACTGTAAGCTCAAGGAGCTCAGGGGCTGAACTAGTATCCCTGGTTTTGCCACAAACTGGTTGTATGATCTTGAACTAGACTTGGACTATCCAGGTTGTTTCCACCTGTGTAAATTGGGGGTAATAATACCTACCTTATAAGGTATCTAAGTTCACACTTGCCAAAGATGACCTTATGACTTCCTTCCCTTTGTTATCTGGCTTCTTGTTATCTAGCCTGAACTCATAAGTCCAGCTGGGGCAGAACCCTAAGACCTAATACAATGCTGTAAGCTTTGAAAGTCATGAACACTCAATGAATTAATGCACAGAATTCAATAAATATCAGTTATTACTGTTACTATTAATATTTTTCACTGTCCAATAGACGAAATAAGACAGATACCAGAACATCATGCTACAAATATGGTAATGTTATGAAAAAGATGCAAAACTATATGAAAATTAAGAGAGCTAATTTCTGAAAGGTCAGGAAAAGCTGCATAGGAAGTGGCTTTCAAGCTGCCTAAAGGACAGATAGATCCTATAGGTAGAGGATGGGGAGGAAAAGAACATTCTAGGAATATCACCTGGCATTTTTGAGCTTACTTAAGATAATGTGGTCCTAATGTCACCAGGCAGTTCTGGAAACTCTTGGTCAGTTCCTCCTTCCTTCCTCCCCAGTGACCCTTCCAAATTCTCCTCCCCTCAGTTTCTCTAAGAAACTCCTATACCTGCACTCTTAGCAGAGCCTCCTTCCCTGCATACAAAGAAAAGGAGACCAAGAGGCACAAACTCTCTCAACTTGCCAGACGTAAGACATTCTGTCTGTCCTTCACTTCGTTGATCCTTCTCTGCAACACTTAATTCATGACAAGTAATTTTAAGTACAATGCTTAATGACAATCAAGCCTAAGAAAATACCATCATTTTTGAGAGAATGGTGTTTTTTTTTTAAATGAATCAGAACTGGTGAATTAAATAATATGTAGTTAATGTTTGGTTAATTTCCTGCCATGAAGCCCAAATGGGATCTCTTGCCTTTACCTTGAGTTCTGCAGGCTTCTTCTCTTCAGAGGACTTACAGCGGGTGATCTCCTGCAGCTTCTGCTCCAAGGGCTCCAGGCACTTCTGCAGTTTTTCCTGAGGGGTTGGAAGTGGGAAAGGTGGCATCTGGGGTTGACTGGCACAGCCTACATTCAGATGTTAACTCATTTGTTTTAAACTGTTTGCATCCTATCCATCTCACCATTAACTTCTTACAGGTTCCTCTTCCTGCCACCAGCCCGTCCCTATCGCCTTCCTTGCTCACCAAAACTTTCCTCTCACTGAATCTCAGTGGTCCAGCTGTCACCAACCCTATCCATCTCCTAACTCAAGTAACTGCCTATCACTGTCAAAGTGACCTTCTGTACCCTAATGTCCTTCTTTTAACTTGTATTCCCACCCAAATCTAATCATCTGCAAATATAATAAAATCTTAATTATACTGTAAACTACCTTAAATCTTATATCCAAGGTTTTATTAACATAGTTAAGCAAGGTACATGATGAAGTGCTAAGACATTAAAATCTCTAGTTTCTGTTACTTAAACATTTACAGTGTGTCCCAATAATAACTTAAACCAGATGCCATGTAATTCATTATCTGGGGAAGATGCAAACAAGACTCATTCACCTTCCTCTCTCTGGTGGTGATTAGTCTAAAGTGAAATGATGTTATTCCCAATACCAATGGGAAGAGAAGGGGTACTATGAGCAGAGGGACAGAATGAAGAAACCAGACCACCTTTCAATTCTTCCTAACTTAGATCTTCTTCATGTGGTCTCATTCATTTATGCAAAATATGATACAGTCCAAGACCACTCATACTCAAATGTGTTAGAAAAGTCAGAGAGAAATTTTGGGGTACTCCTCGCCATTGCTCTTCTTCATGCTTGAGTATAATTAATCAGATGTACTATGTGTCCCCTGCATATGCAGCTCTGAGGGGACTATAGAATGAGGACCAGATACAATCTTGCCCTCAGGAGCTTACAAGGGGGGACCCAAAAAGACCCGGAATTTATTTATAAAATATTGTGTATTTATTCTTACATGTTTAAACTTCAGTCACCTTCAAAGTACTCTCCATTTGATGCAATACACCTATTGAGACATTTTTTCCACTGCTCAAAACAGTTTTTGAACTCGTCGATTTTGATGTCTCTTAGTGCTTCTGCCGTTTCTTGTTTCACCTCTTCCACATTGGCAAAACGTTTCTGTTAGAGGACTTTTTTCATTCGGGGAAACAAAAAAAAAAGTCGCTTGAGGCAAGATCAGTGAATAGGAAGGGTGGGGCATGGGGGTCATGCTGTTTCTGGTCAAAAACTGCTGAACAACTCAGTGAAGTGCGGGCAGGTGCGCCCGTAAATCACCCATCATGAAATAAGCAAATGCACTGACAGTCTTAAAAAAAATTCACTGAAGCCGAACACAGCCTCTCACAACAACGCCAGATGATACACTGACACAGATAGGTGTCTAGAACACTCACCTCATGGGGGAAGCCTGTACTACAAGGGGCCCACCCTGCAGAAAATAATTCCGGTTTTTTTTGGGTCCCCCCTCATATGATGCTCTCCCCAGGGGGCCCCCCTTCTGTGCTCCTCCCTTATGCCCCACATTGACATGTGTCTAGTTCCCCACCTTGTACTCCTGTGTGGCATCATCCAGTGGTGCGACGTTGTGGGCCCGGTGAGTGTGGGAAATTGCACATATCAAACATACAGCTTCTTGGTCCTCATAGCAGAAGAGGCTGAGGGCCTCATGGTGCTGGGGGCAGAGGCTCTCATCCCGGATCTTCCGCTTGACAGCCTGGAGCTGCTTGGCAATTTCCACCATACTGCCTAGTTGACGATTAGGGCGAAGACTGCGGTAGCGGGAGGTCTTGCGACAGACAGGACAAGGAAAGTCCCTCTCTAGGTCCTCCCACCAGCGGGTGATGCACGCTTTGCAGAAGTTATGCCCACACTCAATGATAACAGGCTCCTTCAGATACTCCAGGCACACAGAACAACTTGCCTCCACCTGTAAGTTCTCCAGAGCTGCAGCTGTGGAGGACGCAGAGGCTCCAGCCTCTAACAGACTTGTCTCTGCCATTATTTAACTTAGGGATAGGAAGAGGGCAGACAAAAATGTTAGTTGGAGGTTTAATTTTTTTTGCATCTCTGTCCTGACATTTACCCACGTCTAAAATCCTAACTCCAGATTCAGCTTCATGTTGGTATTTTACATTTTCTCTGTCACTAGATTCAACCTTTTGTTTCTCCATTTCCAAAACTTGTGATTCCTGGCTATCAACTTATTTATTTTTCCTTGTCAGCAAACTGACACACAGCCCCCAATATCTTCTGTCTTTTATTTCTGCTTTCCCTTGTTAGAAACAGAGGTCTCCTTCAACTCTAGCTGTTTCTCCTGATCCAGGCTCATCCTACTTGTATCCTAAAACCAATAGTTCTAGATCAATGTATCCCTAGTTTTTGCATATTTTTCTAATAGATGAGAAAGGAGTTTGGGACAGTGCAGAGTACCATAAAAGTCAAAGTACTAAGATTTCATAAATTAGGTATATAAAGTTTAATGTTACAGAATAATCTTATCACCATAGTCCATTGGAACCTGAGCCTGACTCTCTGTCACTGTTCTCTCACTTTTTCAAACAGAATTAGTTATGCAAAGGTAACAACCTCCTCTTTTCAGTAAAGTTTTGATATTATTCTTCCTTTTATCAGACTAGCCTAGAGGAAGTGTGCCCTCTTCTTGGAATGAAATGATTCACACGACATCCCATTTCCATTTGTGCATTTGGACCCCTGAAAACCACTTAAGTGATAAATTCATGGCAACAATACTAAAGAGTGTATTACTGAGCCCAGGCCAATAACTTCTTGAAAAGAGGGCTGAAAAGTCTATTTGAAATATTCAGCAGTAACTAAAGTCTCATGAAACAGCTATCCATAACTAACTCCTTAGACATATGGTGCCTCCAGCTAATAGGTTTTGGAATGGCTGGGAGAGAAAAGTAAGGAGGTAATCAAAATCTCCCTGAAGTGAAGCCTCAAAAGAATTGGAAATACATCAAAGAGATTTATAAAGCGGAAGCTGGTCCCCTACTCTATCCTTAAAATATAATTTTTACCCATGAGATGGTTGATTTCTATATCCCCATGACCCCTCCTGTCCATCCTGACCCTCCCCTCCAAGGAATCCAACAAAAGAACTTCAGCAGGTCTACGTGCTGAGAGAGGAGCAACCATATGATGAGCTGAGTTAACAATGATTGTTATTCCTGTATGCCTATTGATGGCACATGTGAAGCGTTTAATTTAGAGTGGTAACTTACTTGGATCTCAATTTGTTTCCTCAACCAGAAGAGACTATTTAGTTAGATGATGTTTCCCACCTACGGAACCCCAACTTTAAGTAGTGACCTGGCCCTTTTCCCAGTCTTCTAGAAATTAGATGGTCTCCTCACCTGGGGCGAGTTGGATCGTATGCAGAGTTAGGGACCTGGCGTTAGGGATCTAGACTGGCAAAGAGTGTGTGAAAACAATGGGGAAAATCTTAGGAAGCATGGAAAGGACTTGGGGCTACAGCAACAGCGAGGCCTCGGGGCACCTCTGGGTTGGTCATTTGTTTCCCTCCATTCCTCGTATCTCTGTAGAAGGGCAAACTTCAGGAATGTTCTCGTTTTGTTTCTACCACTGTCCGGGGTCCCACCTTGCGACCCTCTCCTGAGCGTGGTCCACACGACTCGATCCCACCCCCGTCTCCATCTTCTACCGTCAGATCAGGTGCAGGGTACTGGAGAGAGGGAGAGGTTGGCAGAGAGGAAGGGATGCGTGTCCAGGTGAGGAGTGTGACGTGAAGGTGGGGTGCCCGCTGCTAGAAAGCAGCCCAGACCCGCGATGACGGCGTCAGAGTTCCACCCGGGGAGGCGAGCAGCAGCGGGACAGGGGAACGGCGGGGTAGCCAAGCAACGCCGGACGCGCTGACGTCGCCGGGTGGCAAAACGTCCGCCCGGGCCCGAGGCGGGCGGAGGCAGCTGTGGTTACGTGCGGGACGGTGGCGCAGTGGCGGGGTGCTGGGACGCGGCGTGTGGAGCCGGCCGGTGGGGCACGCCCCGGGGCCCGGGCTCGGCGGCGGGACAGCACCTACCTTCCCGGCCTCGGGTCCGGCAGTGCGGGGCGCGGAGCCGCCAGAGCGCTGCCTCCCTCCTTCCTCCTCCCCCCCACCCCGCCCTCGCCCGCAGCGCGACACACAATACTCGCCGGAAACGGAAGCCGCGCCGAGGGGCTCGAGTCAGTGGAAGCCGGGTATCGGCGGGCGGCCGCGGGAGAGCTTAGCCGTACCTGCAAAAGGCCGGAGGCCAGAGGTGAGAATGAGCAGCAGGAGTGAAGGGCGGGAAAGGATCCGGAGGTGCAGGTGGCTGCAGCGTGGTCGTCCAGGTGATCCGTGGACTCCTCCGAGAGAGGGCCGCGCATGCGCGTGGCCGAGCTCTGAAGCCCATTGCCCGCAAGGCGCCGCCGGGCGCTTGCTGCGAGGCTCTCCGGTCTGGTTAGGGCTCGGGCTTGGCTTGTTTCGGGTGCAGCTGGGAGCCGCAGAGGCGGGGCTGGTGGCGGACTTTGAGCTACAGTTATCCTCCGCCGGCCAGTCCCGGGAGAAGGTGGATAGTTGAGGTGGCAGCCACTTACGTAGCTGATCTGCGAGTCTCACCGAGTACGTCACTTCCGACTACTTTAGAGTTATCCATTTATTATAATGGGAGTTAAGTTCTCGCAGCCGTGGGCTTCAAGTGCTCCTCGCCGTATCTCTGCTAGGCGGGCGTTGAGGAAATGATCTCCGTCTCTTCTGGAGTGGGAGCCGCGAGAGAGCTGGTACTGCGATTCTGCTGCTCACTTTTGTATATTCAGATCGTCGCTCCGCGTAACTGCAAGCGCCTTGAACGTCCTAAAGCTGCGTGCAAACCAAGACCCGTTCTTTTCACTGCTAGGGATGTGACTTGAGCTTTTCCACGGGAGTAGATAGTGCTTGTGTGGACTCCAATGCATGACAGCGACCTTGCTGCTGGAAGCTTCGCAGGCCTGTGACTTTGGAGAAAGAGGGTATGATGGGCGTCCCGGAGAGCTCAGGCTAGGAGTGTAGGACCCTGGTGCAGAAGGCAGTTTGCCCAGCCTTCTCTACCCCAACACGTGGCATGCAAAATGCTGACTGAAAGAGATGAGCAAATTTCGGTGTACCTTTCCAGGGCAATAACCAGTGGCCCAACGTCTTCCTGTGTAACTTGTGATACTGTTTACAAACAATGTGCCGTATTTAGCCTCTCATCCTGGGAGCTACAAACTGTTTACTTGCAGAAAATATTCAGATTACAAAGATTTCTGGTCACACATGCTAAATACAGTTGGTGTACTTTTTGTTTAATGTTATTTTACTTTTAGTTCACTCTTTTCGGTAGCCAATGTTTGGAGAGGATTAAACTTAAATTACATTTGTTAACTCCCCCACCCCCATTGTTATTGGATCATTAGGGGTTTTCACAACAGTACTTGTTCTAGTTCACAAAACGCCTCAGTGCTAAGGTAGGGTGACTGGGCAGTCAGCCTCTATCCTGGCTTTGGAGGGAGAGTGACAGGTATGTAATGTTGATTTAAACCAAGGGATTTCCAACACAGTAATATGCAAAAATGAATTATAATAATGAGATGATTCCTTAAATGAGATGAAAATTTATAAACATACTTCTTTTTTCAAGCATATTTTATTGATGATGCTATTATAGTTGTCTCATTTTTTTTCTCCCCTTTTCCCCCTCTGCCCTGAACCACTCCTCCCTCCAGCATTCTCCCTCCTTAGTTCATGTCTATGGGTTGTACATGTAAGTTCTTTGGCTTCTTCATTTCCTACACTATTCTTAACCTCCCCCATTTTGTACCTACCATTTATAATTCTTATTCCCTGTACTGTTCCCCCCATTCTCCCCCCTTCTCCTTCCTGCTGATAACCCTCCATGTGATCTCCATTTCTGTGGTTCTGTTCCTGTTCTAGTTGTTCATGTAGTTTTTTTTTGTTTTTGTTTGTTTAGGTTCAGTTGGTGATAGTTGTGAGTTTGTTGTAATTTTACTGTTAATATTTTTCTTAGATAAGTCCCTTTAACATTTCATATAATAAGGGCTTGGTGATGATGAACTCCTTTACCTTTATGTGGGAAGCACTTAATCTTCCCTTCCATTCTAAATGATATTTTGCTGGATAGAGTAATCTTGGATGTAGGTCCTTGCCTTTCATGACTTTGAATACTTTTTTCCAGCCCCTTCTTGCCTGCAGGGTGTCTTTTGGGAACTCCTTTGTAGGTAACTCTCTTCTTTTCTCTTGCTGTTTTTAAGATTCTCTCCTTATTTTTAATCTCTGGTAATTTAATTATGTTGTATCTTGGAGTGTTTCTTCTTGTATCCAAATTCTTTGGCTCTCTGAGTGTCCTGGACTTGCATGTATAGTTCCTTTGCCAGACTGGGGAAGTTTTCCTTCATTGTTTTTCAAATAAGTTTTCCATTTCTTGCTGTTCCTTTCCTCCTTCTGGCACCCCTATGATTTGGATGTTGGAACGTTTAAAGATGTTCTGGAGGTTCCTAACCCTCTCCTCATTTTTTGAATTCTTTTTTCTTCGTTCTGTTCTGGTTGAATGTTTATTTCTTCCTTCTGCTCCAACTCTTTGATTCGAATCCCAGTTTCCTTCCCTTCATGTTGGTTCCCTGTACATTTTCCTTTATTTCACTTTGTATAGGTTTCACTTCTTCCTGTATTTTGCAGCCACACTCAATTATTTTTGTGAGCATCCTGATTCCCATTGTTTTGAACTCTGCATCTGATAGGTTGGCTATCTCCTTGTCACTTAGTTCTTTTTCTGGAGTTTGGATCTGTTTTTTTCTTTTTTTCAAAACATTGCTTGTCCTCTTAAAGATTTTATTTATTTATTTTTAGAGATGGGAAGGGAGGGGAAAAGAGAGGGAGAGAAACATTAATGTGTAGTTTCCTCTTGCGAACCCTCTACTGGGGACTTGGCCCACCACCCAGGCATGTTCCATGACTAGCAACCCTTTGTTTTACAGGCTGACGCTCAATCCACTAAGCCACAGCAGTCAGGGCAATCTGTTCTTTCATTTGGGCCATTTTTCTTTTTCTCAATGCACCTGTTGTGTTGTAAGGCAGGGTGTCAAACTCATTTTCACCAGGGGCCACATCAGCCTTGCGGTTGCCTTCAAAGGGCTGAAATAATTTTAGGACTGTATAACTGTAACTACTACTTAACTGTTAAGGAGTTGAACTTACATTCGGCCCTTTGAAGGCAACTGTGAAGCTGATTTGGCCCCCTGTGAAAATGAGTTTGACACCCGTGTTGTAAGGGGTAGAACCTTAGGTATTACCAGAGCAGGGCAACCCACTTCCCTGCATTGTGGCACTGTATGTGGGGGCAGGGTATGTGCATGTCAGAGAGGGAACAGTGCTGCTTGCTCGGCTCTGAGTCACTTTCCATGCTACCTACAAGTGAATTGGGCTCTTCTGGTGCTGATTCCTGGGTGGGTGGGTTTGTGTATGTTCTAGAACTGTGTGGGTCCCTCTGACTGACTCTCCTGTGAGACTGGGAGTTTCTCCTGCTGCCACAACCCCCACAGGTTTTTACAGCCAGAGGTTTTGAGGCATTATTTCCCTATGCTGGAACCCTGGGTTGTGTAGTCTGTCTCACTCCCCAGATGTTCCTGGTTTATTTGCAAATGAATGTGGGACCACCTGGTCCACCAGCTGTCACCTTGCCATGCATCCTCTCTCCCCTGGCTGCTGGTCTCTGCCCCTCCTACCAGTCTGGATGAATGTTTCTGCTTTAACTCCTTGGTGGTCGGACTTCCATGCAGTTCAATTTTCTGGCAGTTTTTTTCTTTCTTTCTTTTTTTAAAATTGATTGTTTTCCTTTTGGTTGTGTGAGGAAGCAAAGCGTATCTACCTGTGCCTCCATCTTGGCCGGAAGTCCTATAAACATACATTTTTAATATTGTTTTTATATCAGGAGAGGAAGATAGAAGATGATTTATAATTAATGACTCATATAGAGAAAATGAGTATGTTAGCTGTGCAGGTAGAAACTGATGGAGGTCATGTATGGTAGGTCAGGGTGGAGAGGGTTCAGCTGTCCAGATTACTGAGATTCTTACTCATAAAAAGACAAACTATCTATTCCCTCCAACCCCTTTATTTTATTTTTTAATTATGAAAAATTTCAAAGACAGTCTTCACTTTGGGCTTTTTATACTTTATACTGTCTTCTTTTAGTTCAGTAACATAGAGCTACCTCATTTTTTTCAAGTCTTTTATTACTTCATTCTGTATACATAATTTATTCAGCCATTTTATTAAGAATGCACATTTAGGTTCTAAATAAAGTCTATAGTGAACATCCTTGTACATATATCCCCTCTTCAGTTTTATTGAGATATAATTGACATTCAACATTGTGTTTTAGTTTAAGGTATGCTACATAATGATTTAATATACTTGCACACGTATGTTTAGACTTTCATACCATATATTAGTAGGACAGATTTCTGGAAGTTGGACTGCTGAGTCAAAAGGCATGGAAATTTAAATAATCTAATAGAGTCTTCTAGCTTCTTTCCTATAAGGTTGTAGCTATTTATGCCCACACCAGCATAGTATGAGATAATCTGTTTCCCTATCATGGAGCCAGTGCTGACATTATCAAATAAAAGAATTTTGGTGATATTTTTCATTTAACAATTTTAATGATTGAATAACTGGTTTTGTTCTGTAGGTACCATACTTTTTCAACCTTTTGTCAGCAGATGGACATTACACTAAGTTTCTTATTCAATGTTACTTAGTTTCCTTTTTTTGCTGCTCCATAAACAGTGTTACAATGCAGGTTCTTTGAACATATGTCAATATGTATAGTAGATTTATTACTGTGAGAAAGGTTCCTGTGTTGAAGGATAGTATGTAATTCTGATTTTAATGGTTATTGCCATATTGGTTTTTCAGAAGTCTGTTATTCTTTATATTTCCCTTGGCAGCAATGCATGAGCTTGTCCCTTTCCCACATTCCTGGCAGAGGTATTATGTATGTTTTATTTTTTTTCAGGCAGTAGAAATGGCTTAGTTACTTGAATTGGATTTTCTCTTCCTTAGTCAGTTAGAGCAGTGGCATCCAACCTTTTTGGCACCAGGGATCAATTTTGTAAAAGACAGTTTTTCTACAGACAGGGAAGGGGGTGATTGTTTCAGGATCATTCAAGTGCATTACATTTATTGTGCTCTTTATTTCTATTATTATTACATTGTAATATAGAGAGAAATAATTATACAGCTCACCATAATGCAGGACAGGAAGCGGAGCTCAGGAGGTAATGCAGGTGCTGGGGAGTGGCTGTAAATACAGAACTTATTCACATACCACTCATCACCTGCTGTGCAGGCTAGTTCCTAATGGACCATGGAGCATTGCTGTGGTTTGGGGACCCCAATTTAGAGTACCTTTTTGTTACTATTATTTCTTTTTCTGTGCATTTCTAGTCCTGTCCTTTGACCCTTTCTCCTGTTGGGTTTTTTGTCTTTTTATCAATTTCTACATAGTCATTTATGTGTGACATGTTGTTTTCATTAAGAAATCCATCCTGATTCTCAGGTTCTAATTTATATTCCTAGGTTCTCTTATAGTACTTTTTTAAAAAAAATCCTCACCTGAGGACATCTTTTCATTGCTTTTTTTAGACAGAGAGGGAGGGATGGAGAGAGAGAGAA